CGGCAGGTCGTCGAGACTACCCAATCCGTAAAGTTCTAGGAATCGCCCCGTGGTTCCGTACAGGAGCGGTCTGCCCAGTTCCTCCGAACGGCCGACGATACGCAGTAAATCGACCTCTAGCAACTGCCGCAAGACATCGCCGCAGCCGACGCCGCGGATCGCCTCGATTTCGGCCCGCACGACGGGCTGGCGATAGGCCACGATCGCCAGGGTTTCGGCCGCTGCGCCGGAGAGCCGCGTCGCCGTCGAAGGGCCCTCGAAAAGCCGCTGGAGCCAGGGCGCGTAAGCGGGCCGTGTGGTCAGCCGCAGGCCGCCCGCGACCTCCGTTAGTTCGATCGCGCTGCGCCGAGCCGCGAAACGGCTCCGCAATTTCGCGACTGCCTCACGGACCTCCGCCACGCCGCCGGCGCCCGTTACGGCGGCGATTTTCTTAAGATTCAGCGGCTCTTGAGCCGCCCAGAGAAGGGCCTCGACCGCGCCAGCGAGATCACCGGGCGTGTCGAGGGCTTCGTTCGACCCATCGTTGGAGGAGTCCATCGGCATCGATTCTGTCCCGGTACACGAACCGGACGCTAACGCGTGCCGGCTGATTCTTGCTGTCAGCGGCGGGGCCGCTACTTCCAAATCCGACGCGCCCCCGGATCGGCCAGCTACTTTACTTTTATCGCAGCGTCGACGAACGGACCTCGGCGACGAGCGTTTGGACCGCTTCCTCGGGGGTGGCGCCGATGGCGTCGAAACGCCGCTGCAGGCCCCTAGCGTCGCCGGAGACGGGCGCCGAGGCGGTCGCCCGGTAAACGGCGTCGGCGCCGCTTCCCCAGGCCGTCACGTCGGCCTGCGTGGCTCCAGCGGCCAGCAGCGGGGCGGTAAGCCGCTCGCGCTCGAGGCGTTCGAAGTCACCGTCGAGACGCGACGGGTCTTCCTCCTCAATGGGCGTCAGCCGCTCCGCGGAAAGATCGGCCGACGCCTGTTGCACGGCGCCGTCATACCTGGCGCCGACAGGCTCGTTCCAGAGCGCGGGGGCCGCCTCGAAAGGCGCCGGCTCGCTCAGCGGGGCCGTCTCGACCGACGCCAGCGAATCGGGCTCCGCGGCGGCCTCACCAGTCCCTTGGTTCACCATCGAGGCGACATAGTCGATCGTTTCGGCCAGCCGCTCGGGCTCGGGCCCATAGCGATACGCCGCCATCGAGCCGACGGCGAGCGTCCCGACCATGATCGTGAGGCGGTAGGCCGTCTGAAACGCGGAGGGCTGCTGGGACACGGCGGGGGCTCGCGAAAGACCAAAGCGGGGCGGATTTCCGGCCCCACGCTAGGGGGTTTTAGCGGCGTGGGGCAAGATCAGTCGGGGGAGCGTTATGAGCCGTGAAGTGGGAGGTGGGAAGTTGGAAGTGGGAGAAATTGGTGGGGTCCGCTCGCGCGTCTCCGACTTCCCACTTCCAACTTCCCACTTCGTGCCATACTGCCTCCATGCCCCCCACACCGATCTACCTCGACCACAACGCCACGTCGCCGCTGTTGCCGGCCGCGGCGGAGGCGATGCGCGAGGCTTGGGGGACGGCTTGGGCGAATCCCGCTAGCCAGCACGCCGCGGGGCGGGCCGCTCGGCGGGTGTTGGAGACAGCCCGTGAACAGGTTATCCACCTTTTGGGCGGCGACCCGACGGGCCGCGCGCCCGACCGGCTGGTCTTCACGTCCGGCGGGACCGAGGCGAACGCCCTGGCGATCCGCGGCCTGCTAGCAGCCAGCGGCAAGCGGCGGCTGGTGATCTCGGCGATCGAGCACCCGAGCGTCGCCCGTACGGCGGAGCGGCTCGAAACGGAGGGCGTCCGGGTTGATCGCCTCGGCGTCGGCCCGGACGGCCGCGTACGAGTCGAAGAGCTCGAGGCGCTGCTGACGGAGGCCGCTGACAACATCGGGCTGGTGAGCGTGATGCTCGCTAGCAATGAGACAGGGGTCGTTCAGCCTGTTGAAGAACTAGGCCAGATGTGCCGCGCGAGGGGCGTGCTGTATCACACCGACGCGGTGCAAGCGGTTGGCAAGACGGGTATCGGCTTTCGTGGAAAACCCGTCGATGCCCTGTCATTTACGGCCCACAAGTTTCACGGCCCGATGGGTGTCGGCGGCCTGCTCCTGGCGCCAGGCGTCACTCCAACTCCGATGTTCGACGGCGGGTTCCAGCAGGATTCGCTCCGCGCGGGGACCGAATCCGCGCCGCTAGCGGCTGGTTTGGCGGCTGCCCTTTACGCTGCTGCTGGGAGCAAACACCTTCATAAACGCTTCTTGCCACTTCTTTGGAAACGAGATCGCTTAGAAGCCGGGATACTTTCTTCGTGGCCCGGGGCCGTGGCGATCGGCGCCGAGAGTCCCCGCCTGCCGCACGCTGCGTGCATCGCCTTTCCCGGCGCCGATCGGCAGGCCTTGGTGATGGCGTACGACCTTGCCGGCGTCGCCTGCAGCACCGGGTCGGCTTGCGCAAGCGGATCGAGCGAACCCTCGCCGACGTTGTTGGCGATGGGGCTCGACCGGGAGCTGGTCGATGGTGCAGTGCGCTTCGCCGTCGGAGCGATGACGACCGAGGCCGAGATCGACGAAGCGATCGAGCGGATCGCCCGCGTCAACGCGGGGCTGCGGGCGAGTCGTAAAGACTAACCCCTTCGCGCCCACGGCTCAGACGTTCTGGGGTGGTGGTGTAGACATGCGTTTAGGGGCCCAGGAAGGGCCCTTCCAACGCGTTTCGTGCCGCGGTTGGCTGGATGTTCGGCTGGCGCGTCGGAACGCGGCAACGTGCCTCCTCGCGGCTTCTAGAGGGGTCCTGCAGCAGCCCCGTTTCCGACAATCTTTCGACAATCTTCGGACACCTTATCGACACGTTGTATACACCGGGAAAAATGGGGGTTTCCTGGACCCTCGGCGCCTCCCCGCGGGGGGCAGAAATCGGGTAGAATCCGGGGCTTCTGCCGAGCGATTTGGGAACCCGACACGGGGGCCTCGCCGGCGCTGCCGCCGCAGGGTTCGCCGTGCCCGCCGCCCGCCTGGAAACGTCCCGTGTGACCCCGCTGCCGCTGCCCGGCGCGCTGTCGGGTCGCAGCGGTCTTCCGACGCGTCCCGCCGCGGCGCCCGACCGCTCGGTCTACTACGCCGGCCCGGAGAACTCGCTGGTCGCCGCGGCGGTCGCCCGCTTGATCGCCGCCGCTCAATCGGGCAATGCCGTCGCCACGCCGCTCACGCTCATCGGCCCGCCCGGCAGCGGCAAGAGCCTGCTCGCCACCGGCGTCGCCGCGGCCTGGAGCGCGGCCCAGGGCGACAACGCGGTGCTCAGCGTCACGGGCCTCGACCTGCGTCGCCAACTCGAACGCGCGTTGGGCGCGGAAACCGAGCGGCCCGGCGCCGTCGCGGAATTGGCCGATCACCTCGCCGCGCTCAAGCTGCTGGTGGTCGAAGACCTCGACGCCCTCGCCGAATCGGCTGTCACGGTTGAGCTGCTAACCGTCACGGTCGATCGTCTCGCTGCAGCGGGCGCCGCGCTCGTCGTTACCGCCAGCAAACCGCTCGGCGAGATAGCCGGGCTCGATGCGCGGATCGTGGGACGGTTGGCGGCGGGGTTGAATCTTGAAGTTGCAGCGCCCGCCGAGGGGACCCGGCGCGAGCTGCTGGTGGCCGCGCTGGCGGCGGCTGGTCGGCATGTCGAACCCGCCGCCGCAGCCGACCTTGCCGCTTGGCTCCATGCCGACGCTCGCCGTGTCCTGGCGGTGGCGAGTGACCTGCAGCACCGCTTCGGCGGGCGCAAGCCGATCACTAAAGCCGAGGCCCGCTCGTACATCACTCAAGCCGCCGCCCAAGAAGCTTCGACGCCCCTGTCCGACATCGCCGCGGTGGTGGCCCGTTACTACGCGATGTCGCTCCGCACGCTCCGCAGCAGCTCGCGCAAGGCGCCGGTGGTGTTGGCCCGGGCGGTGACGATCTTCCTCGCCCGCCAACTGACGCCGCTCAGCTACGACGAGATCGGCCGTTACCTGGGGGGACGCGACCACACGACGGTGATGCACAACTTCCACCGCATCGACGACCGGCTGCCGAAGGACCGGGCGCTGCGTTCGGCGATCGATGACTTGCTGCGTCGGCTCGGCCGGGCGGAGATGTCGGCGTCGTGCGTCTCGAAAGGGGAGGCGTCGCCATGACCATCGGCGGGCTTCCGACACTTTCGGGAAAACTTGGCGCGCGTCCGTCGCGAAGTCGGCGCTTCGTGTCATTGGCGGCGGCCTGTAGCCCCTGTGGCTCTCCACGGGCGACAATCGCTCGCCACGTCACAACCAACNNCCAACTCGCTACAGCGGCGCGCCGAGTTTTGCACGACGTTGTCTTCGCCACTAACTCGTGTCGCAGCAGGCGTTTCCGGAAGCGGAGCCCTACGCTACCGACGCTTTTGCACGCCGCCTTACAACTACCACCATTCTTTTTAAAAACTTATTGAAGGAACGGGGACGGGACGCACGAGCGTCCGCCCCGAAGCGCCTATGAAGATCACCTGTGACCGCGAGAAGCTCCTCAAGGCCTTCCAAGACGTGGCGGCGGTCGCCCCTGCACGCAGCCCCAAGCCGATCCTGCAGAACGTCAAGCTCGAAGTGAGCGACAACGGCTCGGCCACGTTCTTCGCGACCGACCTGGAAGTCTCCATCCGCCGCGAAGTCGAAGGCGTCGAGGTCGAGACGCCCGGTTCGGTGCTGCTGCCGGTGACGCGCTTTGGCGCGATCCTGCGTGAGTCTTCCGACACGACGTTCCGCATCGAGACCGACGGCGTGAAGACGCTCGTCCGTGGCGAACGGAGCCGGTTCAACCTGCCGAGCGAGAACCCCAGCGAGTTCCCGCCGGCGGTGGGCTTCGACGCCGAGGCGTACTACCAGGCGCCGACACGGTTGCTCAAGGAGATGATCCGCCGGACGATCTTCGCGACCGACAACGAGTCGAGCCGTTACGCGCTGGGCGGCGTGAAGTTCGAAGTCTCCGAAGAGGGCAAACTCATCGCGGTCGGCACGGACGGCCGTCGCCTGGCGAAGATGGAGGGCCCGCTGGAGAAGATCGGCGACCCCGCCCCGGTGGGCGACGCGACGATCGTGCCGATGCGTTCGCTGCAACTCATCGACCGCACGCTGACCGACGAAGAGGCGCCGACGAAGTTCGCGGTGCGGGCCAACGACGCCGTGTTCGCCACGCCGACCTCGACGCTCTCGACCCGTTTGCTCGAAGGCCGTTACCCGCGTTGGCGCGACGTCGTTCCGACCCGTAGTGACTCGGCGAAGATCGAGCTGACGGTCGGTCCGTTCTTCGCCGCGGTGCGGCAAGCGGCGATTGTCACGAACGACGAGTCGCGGGGCGTGGACTTTGCCTTCGGCGACGGCGCCCTGGTCCTCGCCGGCCAAGCGGCCGAGGTCGGCGAGTCGCACGTCGAGCTGCCGATCGGCTACGACGGCGCGAAGATCGAGATCACCCTTGACCCGCGGTTCTTGGTCGACTTCCTCAAGACGCTCGGCCCCGAGCAGTCGTTCACGTTCGACTTGGTGGACAGCGACTCGGCCGCGGTCGCCCTCACCGACGACGGCTACACATACGTCCTCATGCCCCTTGCGCGCGACCGGAATTGAAGTCTCTCCGTTTAAAGGAGATAGGGGGATGTTGGAGATAGGGGAGATCGCAAGGCGATGTAGAAGCTTCGTTTGAGATACGGAAGGTGTAATAAAAAAATGGAAATATAGGAGGCGTCTCCGACGCCGACTACGGTCTCCTTGCCGCATCCGACATGACGCGCGTAATCGGCGTCGGAGACGCCTCCTACAGAAATGAAAATTTTTGCTTTCATCCCCCCTATCACCATCATCTCCCTTATCTCCTTCAACAATCGACTTACCAGTGGACCAAGACGTCGCCCAAAAGCTGTCGGACCTGTGCAAGCGTTCGGAAAAGGAACGCGTCAGGTTCTACGCGCGGCGGCCTAAGCGTGCGGGGGATGTGGTGGCGGCGGTGGTCGCCAAGCACGGCT